ACTGTACAGATTACCCAGGTCGGCAGTGAATAGAGAAGGGCCAAAGGCCTCGCACGCCGGGACGAAACGCGCAAACTGCCAGTCAATAACGGCGGTGATGTTGTAGTTATCGTCAACAAGCAAATGATCTCCCTTGTCGTCAACGTGTTTGAGAAAGAACCCGCCAGTGGACGCAGTAGCCGCGGCTAGGGCCGGAGCAGCCCGGTCTCTGAGTAGTCTGTAGAAGAGGAATGCCTCCTTGGGGTATTCCGGGTAGAGTTGCCCATCGGCAATTAAATCAAGGTGAAGGTCTGCGATGGGGGTAAAGTATTCGAGTGGATCGGCAAAGGGCCCATGTTTCCCGAGTGACAGGAACCGATTACTCGCGATAGCGGCCTCTTTGGTCTCCTCACCGTGTGGAAGAAGGGAGCAAGCTTGATTTCTGGGGAGGCGACTGATGTCAATGAGGATGTCGGCGTATTGGTTGTAAACATGCGACTTCTGTTCAGCCGTTACCTGATGAGCGTAGAAGGGTCGCCCCGGCAAGGCATCCTCGAGTATGTACCCTACCCCGACCAAGTTGTTAGGGTCGGAAGAAAGCCCAAATCCGTGAGCTTTGGGGGCAGGCACGCCAAGATCCTCCAAGAACTTGAGGGTTGCGTACTCGCTCTCAATTAGGTAATCAACGAGATCTGGGGGGATGTCGCTAAAAGCCGTGGTCCGAGGGATTCGAGCAAGCCACTTAACTCCATCGTCGAAGACAACCCAGGAGTGATAATTTGCGCAGCCCATCATGGCGCCGCTTCCCAGAGCTCCCCGGGATAGAACTTGCAGGGCTCTCCGTTGCGGAGAGAACTGGCAATGCGGACAAGCTCGTGGGCATCAACTTGGGCAAGAAGCGCCTCGACTTCATTATTGATACTCATCTCCCAGGTGGCATCATCAAGCCAGGTTCCCTTTAGAATAAGCAATGCTGAATAGGAATCTTGAGTACTTACGAGGGTAGTGGATGGGCATTTGTGATGCCGAGGGAGAATATGGACAGCGCATAGATGTCTCATACAGGTTTGGCAGCGTCGGCCGCGGACGCTTGGGCGGCCGCAGTTCGACCAGGAGCAAGTCGCGAAACGAGGAACTTTCGGTGTAGGCAACGCATGAACCGCTGGACCGAGTGGCGTGCCTCCTAGCGACGCCTGGCAAAGGACGGCCAGTCGAGTATCATTTGTCCACTGAATTAGGCTGGCTCGCCGCCATTCTTGCCAGTCAGGCATGGCGCCGTCGAAGGTAACCACGAGACCTCGGAAGACGTCAATAGCCTCATTCTTTGTGAGACCCAATCCCATCCCTAGACCGAAGAGGAATCGTCGCATCTCATCTGATTCAAAGTAGCAGTGCGGTGCCCCACGACGCTGTAACTCTCGGCCCAAGGCTCTATCCCCCTCACTCAGCCCTAGTTTTCCGGCGAAGAGATTGCTGGTGTTCGCAGATACAAGTGACGGGCCAAAAGCTTCGTATGCCGGGACCGCCCTCGCGAAACTCCAGTCGATGATGCCGGTGATTCGAAAGTCATCGTCTATAAGAATGTGGTCTCCCTTATCGTCCGCATGTTTTAGGAAAAAAGGCCCTGAGTTGAGGCCCTGCCATTTTTTGAGCCAAGGGCCTGCCTTGGCCCGCTCTGCTAAGAATTTGAACATTAGGTACGCGTCAATCGAATATGGGGAAAAGAGTTGACCATCGGTGATGAGTTCGAGATACGTGTTGGCCCAGGAGCTATAAAAGTCTTTCGCATCTTCAAAGGGACCTATGCAAGGCAGCGTCCCAGTCCTATCGCTCGCAATGGGGCCTACTTCGATTGCCCCATCTGCGTCAAACTTCAACGATCCAATCTTGTCGAGAGGATGTTTGCCCAAAACGCAGAGGATGTCAGCCCATTGGCCTAGAACCCTTGACTTTTGCCCCTCCGAGGCTGCCCACGAGTTGAAAGGTCGGCCAGGCAGTTTGTCAATAATCATATAAGCGACGCCTACTTCGTTCCGTGGATCGCTGCGCAGCCCGTACCCGTGAAGTCGCGGTGTGGGCACGTCAAGAGACTCTAACCATCGGAGTGTCGCGCACTCGCTGAGCAAGATCTGATTGCTGGGTTCATCATCGAAAGACGTGTGCCTCTCTCGGAGGATTCGGGCTAGCCAGACAGTCCCATCTTCAAATATAAGCTGAAGATGGATATGCATGCCGCCCATTTGACGACGCCCCAGAGGTTCTTCATCATCTAGACGACGCCCCAGAGGTTCTTCATCATCTAGACGACATTCTAGGCCACCAGAAAGCTCCTTTGCGCGCCGTAGAAGGGCCGCGTGGTTCGTCTCCTGGTTGAGGGCGACCAACTCTGCCGTCTGGGCTGCCAACCAGGCGTCGTTATCGAGGGGTTCCTTCTTATATTAATTTCAGATCAGCGGCTCCATGCACAGATGATGGAAATATTACCTCGCATATATGCAACGCAGACCTAATGTGTGTTGCGTAATACATGGACACGCATCGCTCACAGCCGCTAATGTCGATGGCGGCAGCGTTTGGGCATCCGGTAATGGCGCAATTCCAAAATCGAACTATGACTGCTGCAGGGTTGGTGACCTCTTCAATCGTGGAAACAAGGGATCTGTCGGGCGGTGGAAAGGGGGGAGTGGCCTGCGATATGTAAAAATGCATTAAGGCGACGGGCCAGGTAAGTAAGGGTGGAATCTATTTTACAGCGCGTTGTGCATGCATTTTAAACCGGAGTCCAGAAAAGCACCCCTGCAGTGTAGGTTCTATTTTTGACATGCGGAGGGTGTGTTGAGGGTGTGCGTCCTGTGTAGGGGGTGTGCTTGGTGTGCTGACTGCGCCGTAGCTGGGGAGCCTCATTCTGCCACCCCGGCTATAGTTAGGTAATCGTCGGCGTCTAGATTAACATGTCATAATTAGCTGGAAAGCCACATAACGCTACGGCCCGAGGAATTGGGCGGGCGTTGAACTTAAATAACGCCCCGCCGGCGCCGCTAAGATTTGCCGCTTGGCGATAGATAACACGGCGTCCTCGGGTTTCATCTGTAGATGTGGGATAGCTTTGTGAAGCTATTCCCGAAGCTGCAAATATTGGTGGGGCCTGCATTAGCTGAGTTTTCAGCTGGCTCCAAACGGCTTAGGCTTCCGTGTTAGCTCCATGTAACGAGTGGTGGATAGCACATCACTTTGGAGTCCGCCTAGATTAATAGATCTACGGAGGAAAGAAAAGGGTGCAACCCGTAGCCCGGCCGGATATGGGTACACTTAACCACAACCAACATGAGTGAAACTTCCTTAACGCTACTCGTAACTGCAGGCGAATCTGATCACTGTGTGAAACCCCGGGACTGTCCGTAATCACCCGGCTCTAACATTAGCCTAAGTCTAGGGGATCCGAACTTCGAACCGAAGGAACTCGCTTAGCAGTTTGGATGAAAGGTAACCCTGGTTCAGCCTGGTGTTGTGGTGAAAGAAGGCGCCAAAGTCCGCCCCTCCGAGGAAAAAGGCCATGCGCCTCGTTAGGAGGAGCCTACCGAACAATCTGGTTCCGAAAGTTCAGGGCTTTGGGTACAAATTCAAAGACAGAGCTGCCTACTGGGGCCAGCTGTATCTGGCTTACGTGCTAGGCAGGACGCTGAAGTCGGCATGGGCAGAGTTGGAGGAGGCCACCAAAGATCGCATCTGCCAGGACATAAGCAAAGCTCCCTGGCATGTCGACGGTGGTGGTAGATATAATGGCCAGCCGCAGCATGGCCAACTTAACAACCTGCCGTATCTGTGTGTCGCCGCTGATATTGTCCCGTGCTACACGAATACGGAACGGAACGCCATTTCCTTCATCACGGATCTGTATGATGTGAGGGACACCGACCTGCACCGAGAATCCGCATCTCGACACCTTGGATGGCCCAAAGAAACGACCTGAGCATTTTTTTTTATAGAAAGACTTCTCAAAAGTAATTCACATCGTCTCCTCGCTCTACAATGGTGCAGGTACACTTCAAGTTCTCAAAGAGATAGGCATGATTGTTGCCGTAGTGACTGCTGTTTTGTTCCCGTGCGTCTCATGTAGCTCCGCTTGGAGATCATATTCTACCACCGCTTCGAGGGTACTATCTGTGAACCCGCCGAAAAAATAAAACGAAAACGGTAGTGGGTGCGCCGCAGGCTTGTTTAGGGGCAGAAAGGAGTATTTCTATTTGTGCTGCACATCGTCCCCGACCCCTGGCCCAGTTCGCGCGGGGATGGTGATGGCAAAACGGCCACGACTATACCCCTGAATCATACGGGATGTGTAGTGGTCCATCGAACTTAACTTTGTGGATTGTATTGGGCCAAGCAGATCCCACTCATGTCGGTGCGTCCAGGTTGTAGGATTATTGTCAAGGTCACGTGTCTCGGTCTGCAGCCTGGACTTGGTCCTCCCGCAAAGTTTGATCGCAGTCCGTGCCCGTGGGCTGACGATTGGCGCTTCACGGGGTAATCTGACCGTGAATTAACTCGCCGGGGACGTATTCGTTGTCGCTGTTGAGCCGGATGGCGAGTTGAGACGTCGCGCTCAATTTAGTAAGTGACATTGTGAGACAAAGACATTAGTGAATGAGAGAGGCCCGGGGATAAGAAAGGCGGGATGAGTTGAACAATATAGCTATGGAACGAGAGAGATTGTATGGTTAGAGTCGGTGCTAAGGCTGAGACCAGCCCACCCACTCCCATTATGGTTAGCATTCCTACCATGGCTGGAACCTACGAGCCGAACCACTCGAGATTATAGCAGATGATCTGGAAGGCGATGGTTTGCGAGGTTGTGATTATGAGATTAAGTACAAAACAGGTGATGATGATAGAAGAGAATTGCGCGGCAGATATCTACATGCGATGGGCAAAAACATGAGAACCTCCACATGAATTTAAAAGATCGTTTATAACTAACTGAGCAGAGCGCAGCAGCAGAAAAAAATGAAAGAATGGAAGGCTGCGCAGCCCGGGGTTCGAACCCGGGTCCTTCGCTGGTCCAGAAGGAAGGGGTCTGGGAAGCGAAAATTCTAACCACTGAACTAACCGCGCCGTACACTGGTGTTTGCTTCGTTGGAAGGTGCTGGAAACAAATTTGGTACATATGAGGGGGGACGAGTGTTGTTGGCAGTTGCCTGTTGTATGTGAGTGAATATAAGGAAGGAAGGAGCGTTTGCCGTGTCCCGCGTCCCGTGCCCCTTTGTTGGAGTGGGGCCTTGTTGTCGTACAATGTGGAGTCGGGCTCAGGATGCAATACTGAGAACTGGGGCTTGTTAGAAACCGGCATGTGTAACAAATTGAAGTTCCTCCCCAGAGTGACTAGTTCCCCCGAGAATGCAAAGACACTATCCGTGTAAAACTGTTCGGCATTGGAATGGATGGTGTTTGAGAAGTTGACACTGGATTTGCTCTAACCATGCCGAGGTGTTGTTGCACATGCCATCGCTGCCTATCGAACTGGAATCCACATCACTGTACACGATGTACTGTATTTTATTTCCGTGGGAGTAGAGAGTTCCGGAACACGAGAGCTGTTTTCGGAAGAAACCAAGTTACCAACCCCTCTGCTTCTTACTCGGGATTATATCGTGTCTGGAGGGTCCTTCGGAGCGTCGGGCGCGTCGATGCTGGCCTCTCGCAGCAGGGAAATTACGTCTTCCAAGCCGCGAGATTTCGCAACGTCGTACGGCGTATTGCTATACTCGTTTTGGTTTCTGTACGTCGGAGTAAAAGCTAGTGCGCCGCGGTCAAGAAGTTTCCGGATAACTGCAAGGCTGGCCCGTTGTCGATCAGGGTTCAAGTCACTGGGAGGACAGACATGCGAGATGCAGTGGCGTGGATCCTTCATTGTCCGCCACATTTACCTCCTGCTCGTCTCGGGTGAGAAGTATTGCTGTCGCCCCGTCGTTGGTAGTCCAGGAGGCGTGATGTAGAGGGACCTCGCCCAGCCTGTCGCGCGCCATGATATCGGCGCCTCGTCGAACTAGCTCAGCCACCACATCGGCGTGGCACCATGCTACTGCAAGATGAAGCGGCCTCTCTCCGGCGTTGGTGTGAGCGTTTGGGTCCGCACCTGCATGAACAAGCATCTTGACGACGTTCAAAGTATTCTCAGACCGCTTTGTCCACGATGGACTGGGTCTGCACGCGACATGCAGGGGAGTATATCCCATCTCGTCCTTCCTGTTCACATCTGCCCCGTGCTTGAGCAAGAGACCAATGACTTTGATCTCTACACTCTGTTGTATAACGCGAAAGCCCGCAAGATCTTCGGGACTGCTGTTGCACACAAGGTGGAGAGGTGTATTACCATCTTTGTCTGTAGCGTTGACGTCTGCTTCATGCTCCAGCAGCGCTTTCACTATTTCGTAACTCGTGCCTTCTGACGTACTTGCAGCCGGTACATCCGCCGAATCTAGCTCTCCCTCCCGCAGGTTGGCGCACGCAATGTGAAGGGCTGTACGACCGATGCCGTCCCTGGCACACGTCTTAGCGCCGTGCTGAAGTAGTTCCAGCACGATGCCGAGTTCCCGCATTGACGCTGCCACATGCAAGGCAGTCCTTCCGTTGCCATCCAATTCCTCTAGTAGGGCTATTCCATCTGGAGACTTGAGGATGTGCCCCCAGCTTTGAACTTTCTGTAAGAACACCCTTAGCATTGCTGCGTCACACTGACGTATCAATGCGTAAACAGTGTGACGCAGCAATGCGTAAAGAAGAGAGCCATCCCTCGAATATTTGTAGGATATACGGTATCTGACTTGGTCTAAAAGCAAACCAAAAGCGTTTTTGTCGCGTCTTGCCACTGCTTCCATCGCCGCCGGCCTGATGAGGTCAATAGGACGCAGCGCCGGCGCTACCCGACCACCAATGCTTAGCACCTCTACCCACGATGTGAGACCTCGATGCGCCGCATAATATAGTAATCCGGTTTTTCGAGGCAGTTCTTCGTACAGCACCACCCAGCGTTGCCACGTGTTCTGCTTTTGAAGGTGGTGGATGATCGGATCAGGATTCGCCCCTGCTTCTTCAGCCAAGTGGGCATGGATAAATAGCGCTAGAATCACATATGTCAGAAGAGCTGGATAGTCGTCAAGAACTCGTGATTTTCCTGGTGCCGAACGCTGCGAGATGGGCTCCCTACCGGATGGAATGAAGGACATCGCAGAGGCATCGACCTGGTACATGCTCATTTTGTGGGCGAGGGAGTCCGGGTCATGTCTCCAAGCCGAATCGTAGAACTCCTTCATCTGTTCGAATTTAGAAGGCGATTGCTGATTTGTCGCTCGCGAACGCCAACTCTCTTTTTCGTGAACAACGTAATTGCCAGCGCTTGCAGAGGTAAAGCTTCGAACGGTGCCCCCGCTTCTGCTGGTCTTGTGGCTGTTCGCCCTTCCCACGCTTTGGGTTCCAATGTTGTGGTCTCTAGCGCTTTGGTTTCTAATGCTTGGGCTTTGGAAGTCATTGCTGTCTCCTGAAAGGCTATTTATTGCATTGCGCGCATTGACGAGAGCATCTAGTTCCTTGATTTTGATATAATCAAGACAAGTGCGCATGATGGAGAGGTGACCGTTGGCAATGGCCTGAGATCCCTGGCCTGGAACGACTGTATCGAATCCACCCCCTTGCAGGAAGAACTCCCTTATTGACTCATGTATGACTTGAACGACCCGTGTCTCGCCATGCTCGAACTCAAGAGACCCTGCGCCGGCGCATACCGACATGGTCTCAAAGACATTAGTTGGTGGCTCTCCACTGCTGGAAGAGACGGACACCTCGATAAGCCCTTTCGAGATGGTCCGAATCTGCTTCTCTAACTGCTCGTCGGTTTCGGTGAACGCCTCCGATTCCTTCCAATCTGAGAGGGATGAAGGCGAGGGCTCTCTGATAAAAGCCAATATGTGATGCCATTCACTAAGACGCAAAGGCTTTGTTGCTAAAATAGCCCACTGAAATAGCCGAAGGGTTATATCCCTCGAGTTTGGTTGCACTGTTGAAAGCATCTGGCAGAAGAGCGTCTCGAGCGCTTCTGGGATGGCGTCGATCTCCCTTAGCAGAAATTGCAAGCTCTTTCCCTCGTCTCGTTTCTGCAGCACAGAATCAACTACCAGAACTACCCACAGGAACACGCCATCAGATTTCCTGAGGATCTTTTCTTTCAGCGCATCGCTCTCTTCTTGCTCATTGGAAATGCCCAGGCCAAGCTTCAGGTCTACGTAGGTGGCGATATCCTCTCTGTTGTGGACGTCCACGGCTATTTCTGGGCAATCGGCGATGCTAATGGACGGGAAATGCCTGCTCGAAAGCAAATATTGAGGTCAACCCCTGCAGCGTGAGCGGATTTCGTGATTTCTCTCCAGAAGTACGCCTGAGACCGTATGCTCCCTGAATCACACTCGTCGAGAGCATCTATGAAAATAACAGTTCTGGGTGTGGCCTGTGTGGTGAATAAGGATCGAAAGACGAGTTTAAGCTCCGATTCCTCGTAGGTATTGGACTGTGTCGTGGTCTCTCCCATCCTCGAATCCTTTTGCTTCGATTGAATCCTTACAAAACTCTGGAAAAGTTCGTAATCCTGAGGTAATAACTGGAAGAGCAGCGACCTGAAGAGCCCAGCAGGAGAATGCTCCAAATCACCTCCTTTGGCATTGAAAAAGAATGCCGCAACCAAGTAGGTAGGCTTAAGCTGGTAGCTCGAAGCCTGCACGGGCGCTCTTTTCATCAGCGTTGATTTTCCAGCGCCTGGTTTTCCCTTCAGCCAAAGGATTCCGCTGTGTTTATCTCTGTCCTGGCTGTTGAGCCAATCTTGGTATGCCTCATGCTTGAAGAGCCAATGTCCTGTATTTTCAGCTGGTGTCTCGAGAGTTCGATGCCGACTGTCCATATTTGGAAATCGTAGAGACTTGAGAACGGAGATTTCCATGTCGCTCAGGGTGTGATCTCCAATCTTGAGTTTTTCTTCCTGTGGCTGGATGGAATAGACATATGGTTGGTGTCGCTGTTTTTGACCGCTTTGATGGTCATTTTGCGCATTAACCGCCGTCAGAGCCGCATAGATTGCCTTGATTTCGCCGGACACTTTGCGGTAGTTAGGATCGTCCGCTCCATGAAACCGACACATTTCCATGTGGTTCGCCTGTAGTGTTTCGGCCTGTTCACGGGCGTCGCCAATCACTGACGAGTAATCAGGGACAACTTTGTTTCCAAGAACTCCGAGGTTAACTCCGGTCAAGCCAAGCCCTTCTTGGAAAGTTTTCACCCGAAAATCGTGCTTCTGCCAGAGTGCTGAAAATGCTTCCTGAGCTCGTTCCAAATCGGTAGTTCTTAGACCTAGAGCGTCAAGAATGGAGGCGTTCGTTTCCATCCGGAAAGCGCTGATAAGACCCCGTGCCCATTCACCAAGAGCAGCTAGGTCTGGGCTTCTTCGGTGTGGAGTGCCAAGAAATATGACAGCAGCCGTTGAATCGATGACATCGTTAAGCTCTTTCTCCGTCGAAGCGGACGAGCGTGCGAGCATTTCCTTGACAACGATGCCGCCAAGGCTGTGGGCCACAAAAATCAGAGGACGACCCTGCTCTCTTTCCCTGCCGAGCGCGAACAGCATGTCTTTGCTGTGAGAGAAGACAGTGTTTTTGTTCGTAGCCCCAGCCATGTACTTGGTGACTTTCGTGTCATAGCCGTATACTAGAATGCGCGAGTTTGGGCACTCATTTGGAAGAAGGTCCCTCGGCCAAAATGCAGAGACGGTTTTCGCGCCATCGTCTTCATCCTTCCCTGTCTTCCATTGGCTTTTTGAAGTCGATCTGGGAAAAAATCTCTGCAATAACCGGTGAATGGTACTGCGAAATGAGTGCCTTCGGTCATCTTTATCCCCCACCAGTCCTTTGACTCCCTTCGGTCGCGTTGACGGCGTAGCAGGAGTCTTGAGAGATCGATTGTCTGCCCATGTCTTATACGGGTGCCCCTGCAAACCATGGACTATGACAATACTATAGCATCGCAGTACATCAGCTGATAGCACTGGTGAGCAACTGCGTGATAGCTACTCACTC